CATGAGCACAGCCCAAACCGTAACGAGCAAATCAGATGTTAAATTATAAAAGTATTTAGCTACCATATTGGGGGTGAGTAAATTATTCAAAGCAGTATTTGAACATTATTTTTAATGCTAGAACTAGTGAATAAAAATAAAGGCACCATCATATTTATGGCAACAGTACTAGGAACAAAATAAATTGTACTGCTTAATAAAAACATTTAAAATATTAAAAAGAGGGACAATTGCAGTCTTCTACAGTAAGGCTTTTTTATTACATGCACTTTAACACTACCGTACATGGGTCGATATGTTAGAACAAAAAGCAGTCTTATGATTTACGATTAGCAAACTTAGAGAGTAATTTAAAATGAATCAGAAAATGTTTAAAGTAAAAAGAGTGAAGAGAACATACCTGTAGTTAATATTAAATGTTTTATAGGACTCTCCTTAATATTATCCTATAGGACCTTCTTTAATATTATCCTCAAAATAGATTCATGCCATAATTACAAAGCGAATTTGAAAATATATGAACAATTTTGGATACATTGAAGAAAAGGCAGTGTAAAGCTGGACTTAGGAAGAATTGAGGCAAAGTTGTTTCAACATGAAAACATAAACAACAATAGAGAGCAAAAGATAATACATACTTTGTTACATTATAAAGGTGTGATACCAAGTAAAGACTACTGGAATAGCCATCAAGAGGCTTGCGAGGTATGTGTTAAATACACATAGTATATAAAATTATGCAAACTAAGTTCTCTCTAAGAGAATGTCCAACAACACAAAACAATGATATATGGAATATTTAAAAATATAATGTAACTAAATTCATTATCTATTCAAAATCATCTGAAGTCAAAGTGACCACAGAATATAAGTGAATTGCACTTGAATATTCTATTAATGCACCTGTCAACAGTGTATGGCACAACTGCCCCAACTTATATAAATTTCCGTACAATTGAGTTCTGAGAGTATTTAAGCTCTAGTTTTTATCATTTCAATGAATGAAAGCTGCTCTATGCAGAAACACAGACTATAAAGGAATCACCAGTCATCAACCTGCCTATACATTCATTTGAGTGCATAACATTTTGCAAACAATTTGCCCCCAATTTTTTTCTGTTAATGCTTTGCAGGTGTTAACTTAAGACTCATTTTTTGTACTTTTAAGAAGTTCTTTCTCAGATGTTCATGATACCTGTCATTTATGCAAGCCATGTTTGTTTATAAAAGTAAATTATCAACAAGACTAAGATTAACAGTAAGGACAGGGGTAAGAATGTAAAAATATAATATCGAGAATTCCCAGAAAAAAAACACCTTATTTTCAAGAAAGAACGTATCAGTACATTACATTTGCTTTTGGTATCAAAAATGATATCAACTATTCAGAGGTGGAAACTAATTCCACACATATTACCATACACAAATAATTAATACTTTGTCATGATTTGGGCTGTCGAAGTGACGCCGCATAAAAGACTGAGGTGCTGACGTTTCAACCATCATATCGTGGTCTTCTTCAAGGCTATAGTGTCAACAGTACAGGCCTGAAGAAGACCACAATATGATGGTTGAAATGTTGTTATTTCAACTTTCGATGCAGCATCACTCAGACAGCCCAGATCAAGTCAAGGTCCAAAATCAATTTAAGTTTCATTATGATGTTATTATCAAACATACATCATTCAAACTTTTTGCTACGATGGTTACAAAACCTTTAAAAAAACTGTTATTTCTTTCTACCAATATTTTAAAAGAACATCTCTGAGTTATGATAAGTTGCTCATTTGGATCAAACAATGCCAATCTTTTGTTTTCCAAAAAGGATATTATATTGAAGTCATTATGCAATTACTGCTATAATAAATTCATTAGGGGTCGTCCATAAATTACACAATGCTTAAGAGGGAGGAGGGAGATTTGAATCAAGTGACAGTGTAGGCTTCCGCAGCCTGAGTCACTATTTACTAGGCTGTTTGGGTGACGCTGCGTCCATGGCGAAGGTGCGAACGTTTCAGTTGCCACTCTGCGACCTTCCTCAGAGCATAAGGTCGCAGAATGGCAACCGGAACGTCAGCACCTTTGCCATGGATGCAGCGTCACCCGGACAGCCTAGTAAATAATGGGATTTGAATCAGCGTTACATAGGGGCAGGGGAGTATTTGATTAATGCCATGTAAAATTGATATTTTTAATTTTTAAACATTTGTAGAACTACTTTCTTTTTTAGTCTTATGCTAAAGCGTTAAAACATTATCTAATTAAGTTGTTTTAAAACATAAATAATTTAAAATTATTAGAAGTTGTTACAATAAATGTATATCTGTGTTCATCAATTTTGTATTTAATCTGTAAAGTTACAAAGAAATATTCAAAATTGATCTGTAGTATTTTGTAAAATACAATTAAATTGACACCGTACATATTTGCCCATGCGCCATCCAAAACGGCAGCGTGTGCAAGGCTGAAATTGGAAATTTTCTTGCCTGTGCGTCCTTCCTTCACTCAAAATTTTCCCCAATCTTATTGATATGTACAGTAAGCATCGACAACTAATTCTAACTGTAATAATCATAAATTTTAAACCACAACACAAATAAAATGAGTACAATTTATTTAATGAGGTATAATTTTTTTTAATTCTTGCATTTTTAAGAGGGGTGAGTTCGCAAGAGTTATGTAATTATTCAGGGGGAGTTTAATCACATCTTAAAGGTGTGTTACAAGAGGGTGAGGGTATATTCAAAATACCAAATTTGCATTATGTAATTTATGGACAGCCCCTTAGAACACTAGTTCTATAATGATGCTTCTTAAATGAGCAACCACATGACTGCACTGATCAATTAGAATCATATCATAGTACATAAACTATATAAATGTTCAAACAGTCATGTATCTATAAACTGAAACATCATGTGGGACAATATACAGAATAAGAGCATACTGCTAATAATTCTGGTCAGTCTACAATGGCTTCCTCCAGTCAAGCATCTATTCCAATACTGAACAATTTTCTCTACATCATTCACAAAGAACAAAGATTATTATTAGTTGAACAACTTCTCTACAGTAGAGTACTTTCCTCCTAATTGGAAACCTTAGGACAATTTTAACAGTTCTGGGTTTGGGATGGAAAAGGTATGGAATTTATAAAAAAAAAATTAAAGACAGAAACGTGAGTAAACATATGATTGTCATTACTCGTTTCACACATATTCATTCATTCTTGATTTTGAGGACATCAATTCCCAGAAGCAGGACATTAAAGAGTGACAATTCATGGTGAAGGTTTGGAGGTCATAAACACACAATACTACTTCGCTTTGATTTACAGAAAGATGATTCGAGAAACATATATTTGAGAAAAAATTATATCTGAAATGATCCAATTCAATGTAAATATATTAAAATATGTGAAATTGCCAAATATAATAAAATATGTAAAAATGTGTAATTATACCACATGTAAATACATTTTAAATTAAAAGGCGTTACTTCATTCAGATTGTCTTGCTAACTCTAAAACCAAATATTGAATGCCAGAATCTTGTTCCCTTAAGAATATGTATTTATATGAAATTCTCTTCCCCTTATAGCCCTTCCAAAGTATGAAAGATATCTCAAAGATTTGTAGCAATAACTGGCAGCTTCCCTGAAGTGAAGATCCACTAAAATTGACAATGTAGTTAACAATTCATTTATTGTGCTCTTCTATCAAATTGTTGTTCAAACTGCACAAAAGTAGTTGAAGCAGAAATTAATTTAGTGGTGGCTTGTAACAAATGTTCGAGGTATTTTCTTAGAAAGATAAAAAACATGAAAAGAGTTAATATGGGCAGAAATATTATACTTGACATAATGACCTCTGCTGATAACAATAACAATAATAATAATAATAATAATAATAATAATAATAATAATAATAATAATAAGACAACAGACACTGTAGTTACCTCCACTGGCAGATCTCAAGTCCTCGAAGTACTTAACATATGCTTCGTAGGTACAACCAACAAATTCAAACTAATCGTATGATAGCAGCAAACAAACTGGACACTATTATTTAGGATTTGGAGAAACAATCAAGTCTATTTGTCAAATACAGAGTTTAAAAACATAGTCAGTTTAGTCGAGTTTAAAAATATAGTTATCAGATCTCCAAGATTAGTTCTGAAAAATCTATGTAAGAATCTGTCCAACTCCCAAGTCATTTAAAAGACTGGGAAGTACAAGACATCACGTTATTGGAACCGCACATATTATGCCCACAGTATTGTAGACGCACCCAATATTACTAGATTCTTAGGAATCTAATTGTAACCAGAAGTCAATTTTATATTTAAATAACACCTCACATCTTTAATCATAAGTATAGGAGATAACATAAATAATAATAATAATAATAATAATAATAATAATAATAATAATAATAATAATAATAATAATAATCGGATAGCCGAGATCCCTCTAGCCCCAGATTACTCTAACTCAAATATAAGTTTACAAATATAACCGAAGTTGACGGGGTATATGCAGCTAAAGTCTAACGGTTTTGCTACTTCTAGAAAAAAGTGCTCATGTTTGGCACCTTAGAGCGCTATCTTCAGTCCCCAAATCTATATATCTTCAGTCGAAATATCTATCTTGAGTCCCCAATGTGTTAAGTCAGTTTTTGAGAAGAGTGAAAGGGTACAGGAGAGAAGATACATAATAATAATAATAATAATAATAATAATAATAAAAGAAAGAAAGAAAGAATTAAACACATTCTCCCTCTACAATAAAGTAGAACTGCACTGAACCTTCTGGGAATAACATGTTGACAAGACAAAAGATTTTCCAAAAGCTTTTCTTCCGAATAGAATATGAGACATGGGAAGACTTGAAAGCCAGTGGAAATATACTGTTACGAGTCTGGAACAGACTAGAGCCTAGTTCCTAAAGTTAAGACAGCATCTTAAACGGATGAACATTTATGAAAAATGCTCATAGCCATAGAATTTTAGTTGTTTTACTGTGATACAGGAAACTTGCATCACAAGGAAAAGCAAGTAGAAATTTGGTATTATTACAAATTATTGTGATTTACAAGCGTTCTGATGAGAGAAGTTTGAGAAAAAAGAAAACGGAACAATAGACATGATTAACCACAGTAAAATTAAATAAAAAAAATTTAATCTGAATCAATGTTTTTCATTAAAGCACATGATTTATAACAAAATTTGAATTTAATTATGAGTATTAACATACCGGCAATAACTAGAATTAAATATAATAATAAGATCCATGTGCAGATCATTTATTAGATACATGGCCTCTTAACTCCTTCCTCATTCCCATTACCAATGTATATTTGATGTTTAAGTAAGCAAAAGTAATGAGTTGAACTGTACAGGTACAGCTTTCACCCTCCTTTTGTACATCAAGTATAGGATATTAAATTATATTAGAGAAGATTAATCAAATATTGTCTCCAAGGTGTTACAGTTTTACTTATCATGAACATCCTTCCTTAAGATCGAAATACAAAAAAATAATAAAAAATGGGGCATGTATCTTCTATGTTCTTTTAACATAGAAGATGGCTAATTGTTTCTGGTGACTTTTAGTCACTTGAGGTACAAATAATTCAAAATAGAATTATGTACATCACCTGTACTTAATACAGCACCAATTGCACTTTAACAAAGTTAATTAGCCATTGGCTAAATGTTAACAAGTCTACAAAGGCAGCATCAGTAAATTCAATTTACAGTACGTACAACTTAGCATCTTTTCTTATATCCACGTCTGTAAATTTGATTTACAGTAATTACAACTTAGCATAATTTCTGATTTTTTTTTCTGGAGTACTGCTACTGAACTGAATTCCTTGAATGAAAAATGTAATACCCTATATGCACTTTCAAATATACAATCCAATAATTTATAATAATGACAGATAAAAAATAAATTATCTTTATGTTAGTCACAGGAAATAAAGCAATATCAAGTCCATCTTTTAGAAAAGACAGAAAAGTAAACTTTAAAAATGTGACTAATAAAAATTGGTGATGAAATGCGCTTGGAATTATGAGAGATTATTGGTCCACTACTTTCACAAGCATCTCTTGCAAAACTAACATTTTTCTCAGTTCTGTCTTAGCATATTAGCAATATGTGCATAGATGTTAAAATAGACTCGCATGCATATTCATGCACCTCTACATGCAACTACATACACACAAAACCTCATGCTCACTCACATACATACACAATTGGCAGGTTGCATGTAGCCAGATGTAGTTTGAATACGACTGTATCCTGCACTACATAATGAACACAACAATCTACAAGTACAAATCTGCATATTGTTCACTTTCACTTCAGACTTTAGTTTTCTACAATAGTGTCTCATAAAAACATATGTACAATTATGAATATCTGTTTAGAGGACCAAACATTCCTTTCTCTAACAAAATTTTATTATAATACCGGTTTGGACTTGCTCCTTTACAGGAAAACCCAGACCTCAAGATCAGAAGGGAGCAAATTTAAACATGAGATTCACTCAAAGAAAACAAGTATGCTGGGTTTTTGAAGCTCAAGCTTCATCTTACTGCATATCTATTAAGATTCTTCGAAAAAGTCTTACATAACCTTTCACATTGTAGCTAAATTTGACAGAAGAAATGTTTTATAAAAACTTTCCATTTTCTGACAGGGAATGTTTTTAAATTTGTTCCCCTTAGTCCATGAATTTCAAGTGCTTTTCCAGTCTATGTGATACACTTCCTCCTGGAGTGTGAGCGCACATGAAAGTTGAAGCTTCTTGAGTTACAGAAGACTTTGCTACAGACTTCACAAGTGTACGGTCTGCCTCCTGAGAGAATCTCAGAATGTATCCTGTAGTAGGCTTCCTGTGAGTAAGACTTACGACATATCTTGCAAGGAAATGGCAGAGCCCCACTATGGGTCTGACTGTGAGCTTTCAGATTGTGTGCTCTCGCAAAAACTTTCCCACACACATTGCACGAATATGGTTTCTCTCCAGGCTGTGTCCTTACAACATGATCTATGGTGTGAAATGTTTCTGTAGAGTATGTTGGGTTGGAATTACTGACAGAATGAACTGACAGAGTTCCTGAAGTGACTTGTGTTGCCTGATTGGTTTGTTGCAAGTGCACGGAATTTTCTTGAGGCCCTGTGGTGACAATAGTAATGGGATGTTCTCTCGTGTTCCCCTCATCTTTCCACTTCTGGACCAATGGCACCTTACATGTTGGCACTAGGTTGTCCTGAGTCGCAAGACACTGATTTGTTTGTTTGATTTCCTGCAACAAAATGCATCCATTATCTTTACAAAAATATACATACAGTAATTAATAAATAATGTTAGATGAATACTAAATAACATATTAACATGATCTGCTTAATGGTCTGTTAGTCTTAGGGTTCCTAAGGTCTTAAAATCTGATTTTAGAGGTCACAGGCATTAAGTTATGATTCTCATTCAGTAATCTACTCCATGACATCTTTTGAGACCTGTTACTACATTTTGGGAAGTTAAGCTCTTCAGTGACATACAGAATCTCAAATTCTACTAATACAGAGAATTTTCTTCTTATATGAAAATAGGATGACCCCCAATTTCCAGAGAATGTAGTTTGGGGAAAAAAAATTGAAATACTCTTCATGTAAATAGGGTGAATTTTAATGTCATTAAAATTAATGTTACAGCAACAGTGTGAAATGGGAAAGCAATTTTATTCCTGAGATGCATTTTGAGAGTACTGAAAATTCATAATTCTCCAGTACACAGCATCTTCCAGGCACTCACATGATTTATGAAAAAATTATAGTGTTTAGTTTTGAGACTGAGGGAAAATGTGAAATGGTCCAATCCATGAAATCGAATATACTTAGATCCACAAGCAAACAAAAACAAGATGTGTCAAACTATAATAATTATGTTCTTATTCAATAAATCAAGTTGTTAAGAACATTAAATAATCTGGTGATCTACAGGGAATGGTGTTGGGATTGGAGATTTTTATATGGAATGGGAATACCCTATTTATGATCCTGCAGTTTCTTTACTCAAGTATGCCTATAAAAATGGTGCATGTGCTACTTTTAGTAAAATCTCTGAAATTTCAAAAATTGAAAAAGTTTTAACGGCTTTGCATTCCCTCCTAGGACTATACATTATTGGAGATAGTTTTTTGTTTTTATTAATAAAATCTGTTCTGTTAAATTACATCTTTAAATAGTGTCATGTACAATTTTATTAAAATAGTGGTAGTTTTTTTAACAATTTTGAGTGAAATGATGAATTTTAAAACTATATATGAACAAAATTTTCTCAAAAGCAGCATCATTCCCCCCTCCAATATAGCAATGTTCACTGAATAATATGGTATAGGTCCGATTTTCATTAATATCTTTGGAATTTTGAAAATCCTGTAAGTTCAAATTGCTTTAGACATCCTCCTAGAACTACATGAACTGTTACGGTAAATGACATTTTTCAAAAAATTAATGAACTCGACACCAACAAGAGCACAGGTCCTGATGGATTACCTCCAATTATTTTAGTTAATGTAATTTTATTTTCTCCTCTATTTCATGTCTTATTTGTAAAATTACTAAACGAGAATCTACTTCCATCAAAATGGAGGAGTACATATATCATACCAACACATAAATCTGGCTCTAAAAGCCAAATATCCAATTATAGACCAATCTATTCTTAGTGTCATATCTAAATTTTTTCAATTGATAGTTACATATAAATTAAAATCAAAAATTACTCCATTTATATCAGCCAATAAACATGGATTCATGCCAGGATGTAACATTGAAAGTAACTTCTGTACAGCCAGTATATACTCCAGCCATATATACTCTCTGGCCAGTACATTCTGAACTCTCTAGAAATTAATATCCATGTTGATACTACTTTTAATGATTTTCGCAGAAATTGTTGGATTCGAAATGGTGAATCCAATATATCAAATACAGAGATCTCATCTCTAATGAAATTACAGCATCCTCGGGAGAACCCCAAGGTTCACATTTAGGTCCTTTATTATTTGTGGTATTTAATAATGATATTTGCTCACTTCTGGAGAGAGTTGAATTTCTTATATTTGCTGAGGATTTAAAACTATTTAAAAGTATAAAATCCACCAAAGATATTAAAGATCTACAAAATGTTATATCAGTTATCTATCAGTGGTGTTTATTAAATGAATTATATCTCAATCCTAAAAATTGCAAATTCATAACTTTCTCTAGAGGTAGAAATGTCATCTATAGTTCTTACAAAATTAATGATATATACCTTGAATGAGTTCTCTCAGTAAAGGATCTTGGTGTTATAGCTCAAAAATGAATTTTAATATGCACATTGATACGTTTGTAAATAAATCTCTACAACAACTTGGACTGATAAAGAGAACATGTAGGGTGATCTGAAGTACTGTAACTTTGAGAACTTTGTATTATTCATTAGTTAGATCTCACCTTGTTTTTGCTTGGTTTGGTCGCTGTATTTGCGTTTTCACATCAATAGGCTTGAAAGAGTATAGCATAGATTTTTTCGATTTCTCTCCCCAAGACTTGGCTGGCCTGATCTGATTCTAAATCACAATTATGCAAGAATCTTGCAAATGTCCGGTATTCAAACTCTTAAATCGTTTAGGAAGTACAATGACATTGTTTTCCAAATTGTTACATGGTACCACAGATTTCCCACTATTACATAGTAAACTGTTGTTTTGTTTCCCTAATACATCTACTAAACATTTTGACCCGTTTTTCTTGCTTAAATTATTCATAACTTTATACATCAAATAACTTTTTCATTAGAACTTGTAAAATTATAAATAATCAAAATCTAGATATTTTATACCCTGATATGAGTGAGTTGATAATATGTTTGAGATCAACAGTTCAATATACATTAATAATTATATACTTGTAAGATATTTACATTTTTTATATACTTAGTCACAATGTAACTCCTTGTAAAATATTTTTCTTACATATTTCATTTTTGTTATAAATAATTCTTGTATTCTTCTATTGTGAAATATATTTGTAAATTGGACACATTAATGTCCATTCAATAAATAAATAAATGAAAGCCAGAGATTTTTTTTAATGCAGTATATTCCTGAATATTATATCTTTTTTGTCATTGCATGTACACTTTTGTTATGTGATGGGTGAAATGTTAGTAGTATAAAATGTGTAACCAATGCCAGTAATATAAGAAAGTATGTTCCATTACCTCCTCCATGGGACACCGCCTTAAAGTAGCACTGTCCGTGCGGGCAAGGGGGGTTTGCGTACTTCGATGAAGCTGAGGGCTATGACGGTAGCATTGCTAGTAGGCTAGTGCCGCTACCGATAGGGTCACCCATGCTGTACAGACCTCAGTGGAGGAGTCAGACGAAGGGTGTTCCACAACGTCCTATTCTACCTTGTCCTACACCTTATCCTGTTCCCCATATTTGACCTATTCCTAGAATTTACCCCCCACAATTCACACTTGTGTATTGGTCCTTTCCACTAGGGTGGCATTGCTTCTACTTACTCGTGCCACACTTCTTTTATACTTTCTATCTCTCTTGATATCCTCTTGTTTGTTTTGGCCCCAAAGCGATTAGGTTGTGAAAGCCTAGGGAGCCTTTCATTTTTCCATCTTCTTGAGAGAGGCTTCGTTTAAGATGCAGTGAAGGCCACCTCTCTACGGCAAGGGAAGCCAGAAGATAAGTCCCCTGGTCTTCCAGGTTGGGGGTTAAGCGTATGGGCCAACAACCCTACCTTGTAGAAACCGAAATGCTACGTTTGCTGGAATAAATACAGCTTCGGAAATCATAAATGGACATCGACAATGGCTACAAAGACGGACTTTTTCTTTTGGAACATGGAATGTGCAGAGCCTTTCAGGGAAACTGGAGGAGATTGTTGAGGACATTAAAGATAAGGGATTGGAATTGGTTGTTCTTATGGAAATGAAAAAGAAAGGGAAAGGACAAGAGAAAATTAAGGGATATTTATGTCTATGGAGCGTAGTAGAAAAGGGAGAGAGAGCAAGGGCAGGAGTCTCTTTATTAGTAAAGAAGTGGAAAAATAGGATTCAAAATTGGGAAGTGATAAATGAAAGATTAATAAGAATAAAAATTAAATTACATGGAATTACCCTTGTAGTTATTGGAGTATATGCCCCTACAGATGACTCCCTATGAAGAAGGATGAATTTTTTGAAGATCTAATAGAGGTGATGGAGAGTGTCTTTATAACAAATGAACTTATATTTATGGGAGATCTACATGGGCACATTGGAAATAAAGAAGAAGATGGGGTAATGGGTAAATGGGGAGAAACAATGATAAATGACAATGGAAAGTGATTAATAGAATTCTGTAAAGAGCAGAATTGTTCCATTATGAATTCTTATTTTTGCCACAAAGACATTCATAAGTTTACTTGGGAACAGAGAAGGAAAAGAATAAAATCTCTAATTGATTATGTTATGGTTAAACAAACTAGAAAGATAATAGTTCAAGATGTCAGAGTATTTAGAGGAGCTGAATGCGGTACAGACCATCACCTTATTACTAAAATAGCATTCCCAAGGATAACATCACAAAAAGATATGTTGTTTACACAAGAAGAAACAAAAATTAATGAACCGAGATAGATGCTTAGTCTATTGCAAGATGAAAGTGTTAGGGATCTCTATCAGAGACGTCTTGCAACTAAATTAGATACACAAGATGATTGGAGAGCTCAAGAACTCTATGATCATATGAAGACATGGGTACATGAGACAGCTGCTGAAACTCTTGGGATAGAAATGGATAGTAAGGGAAGAGTGGAATGGATGAATGGAGAAGCCGCTGTGGCAATTAAGGAGAAGAAGGAAGCTTATGGGATCCGGCTGAATTCTACGCGTCAAGAAGATTTAGATAGGTATTATTTACTAAAAAAGAAAACCAAAAAGATTGTGAGGCAATGCAAAGAGGAGGCTTGGGAAAGGGTATGTTATGGGATAGAATATACAGTGGGATACGGTAAAACAAGCTTAGAGATCTATAAGAAGAATAAGAGCGCTGAATGTGAAAATAGTAAGTTTGAATATGATTACATTACCGGAATGGAAGAAGCATTTTTCTGAGATGCTGACGGAAAATAGATTTCAGTGGAAACAACTGGGAATGACTACTAGAAATATAAAGTGAGGCATGAAAGAGGTAGAACCTATATTTGAGGAAGAAGTATGGAAAGCCCTAAAATATTCACAAAATGGTAAAGCGGCGGA